CCTCATGGCATCCCTCCCTCCATTCTCCTCATGGCATCCCTCCCTCCATTCTCCTCATTGCATCCCTCCCTCCATTCTCCTCATGGCATCCCTCCCTCCATTCTCCTCATGGCATCCCTCCCTCCATTCTCCTCATGGCATCCCTCCCTCCATTCTCCTCATGGCATCCCTCCCTCCATTCTCCTCATGGCATCCCTCCCTCCATTCTCCTCATGGCATCCCTCCCTCCATTCTCCTCATGGCATCCCTCCCTCCATTCTTCTCATGGCATCCCTCCCTCCATTCTCCTCATGGCATCCCTCCCTCCATTCTCCTCATGGCATCCCTCCCTCCATTCTCCTCATGGCATCCCTCCCTCCATTCCCTCATGGCATCCCTCCCTCCATTCTTCTCATGGCATCCCTCTCCCTCCTTCTTCTCATGGCATCCCTCCCTCCATTCTTCTCATGGCATCCCTCCCTCCATTCTTCTCATGGCATCCCTCCTCCCTTTTCCCTCATGGCATCCTCCCTCCATTCTCCTCATGGCATCCCTCCCTCCATTCTCCTCATGGCATCCCTCCCTCCATTCTTCCTCATGGCATCCCTCCCTCCATTCTTCTCATGGCATCCCTCCTCCATTCTTCTCATGGCATCCCTCCCTCCATTCTTCTCATGGCATCCCCTCCCCTCCATTCTTCTCATGGCATCCCTCCCTCCATTTCTCCTCCCTGGCATCCCTCCCTCCATTCTCCTCATGGCATCCCTCCCTCCATTCTCCTCATGGCATCCCTCCCTCCATTCTCCTCATGGCATCCCTCCCTCCATTCTTCTCATTGGCATCCCTCCCTCCATTCTTCTGATGGCATCCCTCTCCCTCCATTCTTCTGATGGCATCCCTCTCCCTCCATTCTTCTGATGGCATCCCTCTCCCTCCATTCTTCTGATGGCATCCCTCTCCCTCCATTCTTCTGATGGCATCCTCTCTCCCTCCATTCTTCTGATGGCATCCCTCTCCCTCCATTCTTCTGATGGCATCCCTCTCCCTCCATTCTTCTGATGGCATCCCTCTCCCTCCATTCTTCTGATGGCATCCCTCTCCCTCCATTCTTCTGATGGCATCCCTCTCCCTCCATTCTTCTGATGGCATCCCTCCCTCCATTCTTCTCATGGCATCCCTCCCTCCATTCTTCTCATGGCATCCCTCCCTCCATTCTTCTCATGGCATCCCTCCCTCCATTCTCCTCATGGCATACCCTCCCTCCATTCTCCTCATGGCATCCCTCCCTCCATTCTCCTCATGGCATCCCTCCCTCCATTCTCCTCATGGCATCCCTCTCCCTCCATTCTTCTCATTGCATCCCTCCCTCCATTCTTCTGATGGCATCCCTCTCCCTCCATTCTTCTGATGCATCCCTCTCCCTCCATTCTTCTGATGGCATCCCTCTCCCTCCATTCTTCTGATGGCATCCCTCTCCCTCCATTCTTCTGATGGCATCCCTCTCCCTCCATTCTTCTGATGGCATCCCTCTCCCTCCATTCTTCTGATGGCATCCCTCTCCCTCCATTCTTCCGATGGCATCCCTCTCCCTCCATTCTTCCGATGGCATCCCTCTCCCTCCATTCTTCTCATGGCATCCCTCCCTCCATTTTCCTCATGGCATCCCTCCCTCCATTCTCCTCATGGCATCCCTCCCTCCATTCTCCTCATGGCATCCCTCCCTCCATTCTCCTCATGGCATCCCTCCCTCCATTCTTCTCATGGCATCCCTCCCTCCATTCTTCTCATGGCATCCCTCCCTCCATTCTTCTCATGGCATCCCTCCCTCCATTCTTCTCATGGCATCCCTCCCTCCATTCTCCTCATGGCATCCCTCCCTCCATTCTCCTCATGGCATCCCTCCTCTCCATTCTCCTCATGGCATCCCTCCCTCCATTCTCCTCATGGCATCCCTCTCCCTCCATTCTTCTCATTGCATCCCTCCCTCCATTCTTCTGATGGCATCCCTCTCCCTCCATTCTTCTGATGGCATCCCTCTCCCTCCATTCTTCTGATGGCATCCCTCTCCCTCCATTCTTCTGATGGCATCCCTCTCCCTCCATTCTTCTGATGGCATCCCTCTCCCTCCATTCTTCTGATGGCATCCCTCTCCCTCCATTCTTCTGATGGCATCCCTCTCCCTCCATTCTTCTGATGGCATCCCTCTCCCTCCATTCTTCTGATGGCATCCCTCTCCCTCCATTCTTCTGATGGCATCCCTCTCCCTCCATTCTTCTGATGGCATCCCTCTCCCTCCATTCTTCTGATGGCATCCCTCTCCCTCCATTCTTCTGATGGCATCCCTCTCCCTCCATTCTTCTGATGGCATCCCTCTCCCTCCATTCTTCTGATGGCATCCCTCTCCCTCCATTCTTCTGATGGCATCCCTCTCCCTCCATTCTTCTGATGGCATCCCTCTCCCTCCATTCTTCTGATGGCATCCCTCTCCCTCCATTCTTCTGATGGCATCCCTCTCCCTCCATTCTTCTGATGGCATCCCTCTCCCTCCATTCTTCTGATGGCATCCCTCTCCCTCCATTCTTCCGATGGCATCCCTCTCCCTCCATTCTTCTGATGTCACTGCTTGTTTCAATGTGTTTCTGCCACGTCTCATCTGCCGTCTCTAGCTTTCACATCTGCTCCCTTCTCTCATGTGCCATCTCTTCTTTTGGAATAACCCTGTACACACTGTCTTCTTCCTCTCCCAGCCTTGTTTTCAACCAAGCCACACGCGTCAGCCGCTGTGACCTTCTCACCACCACACAGCACCTCCCAGCACCACACAGCACCCCCTTCAATACTCCTGCCATCCATCCAACACCCCACCTTCCTCCCTTCTTTCCCTCCCTTCTTCTGGCCCCACCCACTGTCCAATGCAGACACGTCAGCAGCAGTGCTGACATCAGCAGGGTCGCAGTACTCCCTGCAGCACTCCCGCCTCTCCACGGCTCACCAGCTGCTGGTGCTGCTGCAGCGAGGGGACGTAACGGACAGGTGAGGTGGAGAGAAATAGGGAGAAGAGGCGTACAGTAGTATAGGGAAGAGCAGCGAGTGGGTTTGGGTGGTGCTTTGCACTGCTCCTTACAATGCTCCCGCCTCTCCACGGCTCACCAGCTGCTGGCGCTGCTGCAGCGAGGGGACGTGGCGGACAGGTGAGGGGGGGATGAGAGGGGAGGGGGGGTGGGTTACAGGGGGTTGAGAGTCGTGCAGAGGGGTATAGAGGAGAGTGGTGGGTGGGTGGCAGTACCCCTGCTCTCTTGCCCTTCCACGGCTTACCAGTTGCTGCCACTGCTGAGGCGAGGCAATGTGACGGACAGCTGAATGGGAGAGGCGTGGAGGAGGGGGATTGAACGTAGGAGTATAGTGGTATAGGGGTGAGAGGTGGGTGGGTTGGTGAGTGGGTAAGTGGGTAGGTTTGGGTGGGTGGGTTTTGGGTGGGCGGGTTTTGGTTGGGTGGTTTTGGGTTGGGTGGGTTTTGGTTGGGTGGGTTTTGGTTGGGTGGGTTTTGGTTGGGTAGGTTTGGGCTGGGTGGGTGGATGGGTTTGGGTTGGTGGGTGTATGGGTTTGGGTGGGTCCCTCTTGCGTGTCCCGTCACTTTCATGCCTCTTCCATGTCCCTCTTGCCTCGTGTCCCTCTTGCCTCGTGTCCCTCTTGCCTCGTGTCCCTCTTGCCTCGTGTCCCTCTTGCCTTCTCTCGCCTCCACCCTCTCGCCTGTGTTGGCTCACCTCTACTGTGGTGGCTCACCTCTACTGTGGTGGCTCACCTCTACTGTGGTGGCTCACCTCTACTGTGGTGACTCACCTCTACTGTGGTGACTCACCTCTACTGTGGTGACTCACCTCTACTGTGGTGACTCACCTCTACTGTGGTGACTCACCTCTACTGTGGTGACTCACCTCTACTGTGGTGACTCACCTCTACTGTGGTGACTCACCTCTACTGTGGTGACTCACCTCTACTGTGGTGACTCACCTCTACTGTGGTGACTCACCTCTACTGTGGTGACTCACCTCTACTGTGGTGACTCACCTCTACTGTGGTGGCTCACCTCTACTGTGGTGGCTCACCTCTACTGTGGTGACTCACCTCTACTGTGGTGACTCACCTCTACTGTGGTGACTCACCTCTACTGTGGTGACTCACCTCTACTGTGGTGACTCACCTCTACTGTGGTGACTCACCTCTACTGTGGTGACTCACCTCTACTGTGGTGACTCACCTCTACTGTGGTGACTCACCTCTACTGTGGTGACTCACCTCTACTGTGGTGACTCACCTCTACTGTGGTGACTCACCTCTACTGTGGTGACTCACCTCTACTGTGGTGACTCACCTCTACTGTGGTGACTCACCTCTACTGTGGTGACTCACCTCTACTGTGGTGACTCACCTCTACTGTGGTGACTCACCTCTACTGTGGTGACTCACCTCTACTGTGGTGACTCACCTCTACTGTGGTGACTCACCTCTACTGTGGTGACTCACCTCTACTGTGGTGACTCACCTCTACTGTGGTGACTCACCTCTACTGTGGTGACTCACCTCTACTGTGGTGACTCACCTCTACTGTGGTGACTCACCTCTACTGTGGTGACTCACCTCTACTGTGGTGACTCACCTCTACTGTGGTGACTCACCTCTACTGTGTTCCACCTCTACAGACTCATCGCTGCAATTGGTCTTCTTGTTTTTCTTGCCTACTCCTTCATCATACCCTCCTCCTTGTTTTTTGGTTTCCTTTCTCCCTGTGATGCATCCTCTCCTCTCTCTCCCTTTTTTCTGCCTCCACAAGAGCTGTCATCATTTTGGTGACTCTCTCCTTCTTTTCCGTCTGCCCTTTCAACTTCATCTCCCCCGTTCTTCAACTTCTCCTAGATCCCCTCCTCCCCCCCCTCTACTCTCGTTCACCCGGTCTTGTCTGCTGCCCCCACCAGGCTCATCATCATCCTCGGCTCTCTCTTCTTCTTCCTCGTCTGCTCCTTCATCGTTGTCTCTCGCGTGCCATCTCCTGAACTCTATCCTCCTCTCCTCCACCTCCCTCCTCCTCTCCACCACACACTCCGTCCTCTCCCCCATACTCTCCCTCTTCTCATCCCTCCTCACCGCTCTCGCGTCCTCCACCCTCCCCACCCTCGCCTCTCTCTCCTCTTCCTCTCTCACCCTCGGCATCGTCCTCTCTCCTCTCCCTCCACCACACACTCCAACCCCTCCTCTCGCCTCCCGTGCCTCCTCTCCCTCCTTCCGCACCTTCTCCCATGCCCTCACCCTTTCCCCCTTCCTCCCCCTCCCCACCCATCACGACCACCACTATTCGCTCCTCCTCGTCCCCCTGCATCTTTCCCAATCCTTCTCCCTCATCCGCCTCCTCTGTCCCTCCTTCAAACCCATCTCAACCGCACACGCCTTCTGAGGCGCCTCACGCACCAAGCGGGCCACAAGCAACAACAACAGCCGGTATGAAGAAATGGTTTGCGTTGCAACAGACTCGGTGTCACCCGGAATGGAGGATGGAAGCGGGCTTCGAGCAAGGGTAGGGGGCACGCAGAGGGTGATGCAGAAGGGGATAGGCGTGGAGCAGGGGAGGGAGGGGGGGGTGGACAGGTTCAAGTAGAGGCAGGGCAAGCAGAGACAGGTGAAGCAGAGACAGTGCATGCAGCAAGAGGAGCAGCGAGCGAAGGGATGAGAGAAGGGGCAGGGGGAGAAGGATCGGCAGCGAGAAGGGTGCGGCGAGGGACAGCAGGGAAGAGCCGATGGGGAAAGGGAAGATGGGTGGTAAGCAGAGGGCGGCTGCACGATGGGAAGGTGAGGGGTGGGGAAAGAGGAAAGCAAAGAGGGGGAGCAGGAGGAGCGGGGGAGTGGAGGAGAACGAGGAGGTAATGAGTCAAAAGTGGGAGTAGTAGCAGGAGCAGGAGCAAGGGAAGAGCGAGGAGCCAGAGGAAGTGGAGAGATGGACGCAGGAGGTAACACAAGAGTAGGAGGAGGAGAGGATGGATTGGCAGGTTGCAGGTGATCTAGTGAGGGCAGTGCATCCGTCACAGCCGGTGGTGAATCAGCCATTGGTCGCCAAGTCCCCATGCCTGAAGCACCTCCTCTTGCTCATCCGCCTCCCCCCTGCCACCCACCGTGCTGCCTACTACGGGTCTCCTGATGTTGGAGATTCACCTGCTGGGGATTCACCTGCTGGGGATTCACCTGCTGGGGATTCACCTGCTGGGGATTCACCTGCTGGGGATTCACCTGCTGGGGATTCACCTGCTGGGAATTCACCTGCTGGGGATTCACCTGCTGGGGATTCACCTGCTGGGGATTCACCTGCTGGGGATTCACCTGCTGAGGATTCACCTGCTGGGGATTCTCCTGCTGCTGCGCCTGTGAGTGGTGGAGGAAGGGAGGAGACTGCAGAGGGTGGGGGAAGGGAGAGGGCGAATGGGGGATTGGATGGAGAGGGTGGGAGTGAGGAGGAGGGCAGAGAGGGAGTGGGCAGAGAGGAGGCGAGCAGGGCACATGTGGGTTGGCAGGTGGCAGTGGCACGTGTGATGCACACTCTGAATCTGCTGCAGCCTTTCAAGGTGATTCTCCCAGTGCTTCTGCTGCTGCTGATGCTGATGCTGCTGCTCCGGTTGTTGCTGCTGCTGCTGATGCTGCTGCCGCGGCTGTTGCTGACGATTCTGCTGTGGCGGCTGCTGTGGATGATGCTACTGACACTGCCAGCGCTGATGCTGATATCGTCCACACTCATGCTCCTCCTGCTCATGCCACCACCACTGCTGCTGCTCATGCCACCACCACTGCTGCTGCTGGACTAGTGTGAAGGGGGGCCGACAGTGGGGTGGGGGAGGAGTGGGGTGGCTTGAGGCGAGCACGTGAGCACAGGGCGGATGCGGAGGGTTAGAGGTGTGTGGGGGTTGGAGATTCGTGCTGTGGAGGCAGGTCGGGTGGTAGCAGGCTCAGGCGGGTGGTCGGATGGTAGGGGGTGCAGGTGGGGATGTGGGTGGTGAGGTGAATCAAGTCGCTGTTGGGGGTTTCTGAGACACAGGAAGCTAAGGGTAAGCAAGGAGGAAGGGTAGGCAAGGAGGAAGGGTAGGCAGGGAGAGCGGAGCGGAGCAAGGTTGGCCGCACGGAGTGGATGGGCGAGGGGACTAAAGAGGTGGAGGGAGTGAGGAGTGAGGAGGGAACGCTTGCATTGCATGCAGATACCCTCTACGACTGTTTTCACGCCTGTCGAAATTCCTCCTACCGGTATATATGATCATCGTGGCTGCACACACGTGTGTGGTTTGTTCAGTTCGCATTCTGGTCAGGGCTGACGTTTCAATCATGGTATTGGGCAGTCTATTATCACCCCCAAGGCACTTCGGCCAGAAAGCAGGCACTCTGATGGGAGAGCGTTCTCAAGTCAGAATGTCTGACTGACCAGACCAGTCAGTGTCCGTCCGCAGGTTGGGTTCGCATCAGGCATACGGTAGACCTCATGCATCACCGCCGCCCAGCCCATGTCGGCGGCATTTGGGCAGGTGAGATACGGATGAGGATAGAGTTGGAGAACATTGAATATGCATGTTACAATATGTGACCAGTACATGCATTATTATTGCCTTGAACTTTCCCCACCACCTCCTCCCTCCACCAACTACACCACATAAAACATCAATCACAAACATTATTCAAGATAGGACCTTGGTGTTGGGCTGAACGCCCTAGGATCTTTAGTAGAGTTAAAGTCTGAGTAAATGATGTAGTAGCGGAAGCGTTTGAATAAAGTCCTTGAACCACCTTGCGCTAGTATGTGAGGGCAAAGTGAGTTGATTAAAGCAAAGAGATACAGGAATATATATATGAGTACAGAGAATATGAAGAGACATAATTGTAACTGTTTTACTGTTGCGGTTCGATACAGTGCGACTCGGGCAACTGCTCAATGTTGAGTCAGTTGTGGTGTCCTTGCTGTCGCGCTGCGTCAGGTCAAAGGTCGCTGACCTTTGACATTCTCGTAACCTCCAGCGGTTACGTTAACCTCTGAGGGTTTACTCGCGGTGCTTCGATTTGAGCTGCTTCGCTTGTGTCTTGAGTTTCGACACGACAGAGGCGCTTAAGACTATTTGTTCCCAACACTCCCCTTCGCTTCTGGAGTGTCGCTGATGGTGACGTGGCTTTGTCCAGTCAGCAGCATGCAGTACTCGAACTTCTGTTTTCCGAGCTTCTTGGTCAAGTAGTCAGCTGCCATCTCAGACGTGGGACAGTAGGATAGTTTGAGTTTCCCTTTTTCGATCTCGTCTTTCACGAAGAAATATCGCAGGGCGATATGCTTCGTTCTGTTCGCGAATCCGCTCTTGTTGGCGATGCGAATCGCAGATTGGTTGTCGCAGAACAGAGTGAAGTTGGGTAACTCGGCTAACCTTCGCTTCTTCCAGCAGCTCGCGAAGATAGAGTCCTTCCTTGGTGGCTGAGCAGAGTGCGATATATTCTGCTTCAGCTGAGGAGAGAGCGATTAGTTCTTGCTTGCTCGATTGCCAGGAGATAGGTCCGATAGGTTCGAGGCGGTAGATGTAGCCAGTGCGGGAGCGTCTGTTGTCTGAATCGCCGGCGTGATCGGCATCGACGTAGCCGATTAGTTTCGTCGGTGTAGTTTTACTCTTGTAGTATGTCACGCGGATCGTCGAGGTGCTCACGAAGTAGTGGAGAGCGCGGTCCGAGTTCCGCCAGGTGTTCTGTTTCGGGCCTTTTGAGATAGGTAGCAAGTTGACTTGCGGAGTAGGACAGATCTGGGCGGCAGGTGACGGCTGCGAAGAGAAGGCAGCCCAGCTTCCTCTGGTAGTCGCGTATTCCGGCGGTTTTGAGTAGAGCGGGACCTCCTTTGTCGTTCCCTGCCGTGTAGCGGTATGACGTGGAGATAGTGGTAGGTGTGAGCGAGGCGTTTGGCGATAGTGTCGGCATACTTTTCGGCGCTGAGATAGATTGCGTTCTCTTCTTCGCGGATGTTGAGTCCGAGGTACTGAGTGACGGTAGAGGAGACCGTGAGTGTAAGATCCCTCTGCAGCTCCCCTTCGAACCAGGTGGTGACGTCTTCGGTGGAGCTAATGTAGAGTAGGTCGTCGACGTAGACGATCAGCAGGATATAGTCGGCGTTTTTGGTGAGTCGATACATTTCTTGTCGTGAGGTAGTTGGCGGAATCCGATGCGAGTGAGGCGAGTGTGTAGGTGCTGTTGCCACAGCCGTGGGGCTTGTTTGATACCGTAGAGCGATTTCAATAGCTGGCAAACTTGGTTAGGTTCCCCGTGGGTACCGTGTGGGAGCTCGACGAAGATTTCGGCGTCGACGGGTGCGTAGAGGAACGCGTTGGCGACATCAATTTGTCGCAGTTTCTTCTTCTTCATAGCGGCGATCGCGAGAAGAATTCGGAGTGAGGTATGTCGGCTGACCGGGGCGAATGTCTCGGTGAAGTCCCATCCGTGCTCCTGGTCGAATCCACGCACGACCCAGCGTGCTTTGAATTTCTCGATTGTACCGTCTGCCTTTGTTTTAATGCGGAAGACCCATTTCCCGGTGAGGATGGTCTTGTTCCTTGCCACGCTTACGGGAACGACTTTCCAGGTGTTGCGTTCCTCCAGCGCCTTTAACTCTCTGTCCATGGCTTCACCCCATTTCTCCCTGTGTTCCCCCCCCAGAGCCTGCTGAACTGTCGCAGGCTCTTTAGGAAGAGCATTGCCGTGGACTGCGGTGACGAGGCCGAGAATCTGCAGTCTAGTCTGTGAGTAGCGGGGGAGAGTTGTGTCCTCGGGATAAGCTGCTTCATCTCCCGCTTCTGGGTCGGGTATGAAATGCGGCCCTATCCGTTCTGCTTCGTTAGTGTTGACTGTCGCAGGTGTTACGTAACCGTTGTCGGCGAAGTGGTAGAAGACTTCGGCGTTGGCGCTTTCGCGAGGATTTTCTTCGTCCATGGGGACGTTGACGGAGCAGAACGGTAGAGGTCCGGCTTCTTCTGATGCGTTGTCGACGTTCTGCTCGTCCCAGTCTGCTTCGTCCGCTGCTGAGGCGAAGGCTCGGTCACCACGAAAGCCACCTGTGGGGTCCTGATTTTCGTGCAAGTTGGCGAGGTACGTCTGAAGCGTGAGTCGTTCGTAGAAGATCACGTCACGTGCTGCTACTGTTTCCTTGGAGTGGACGTCAAAGATTTTCCACGCGTTGTAATTCTTTTCGATGCCGAGGTGTAGTCCCCATTGTGCGCGTTGTGAAAATCTTCCCGCTCGTGCTTCTGGGGGTCGGTACTGTACCATGCACCCGAAAACTCGTAACATTTTTGTGCTGCCCTGTTTCCTTGTCCACAGCAGATGCGGTGATGCGTTGTTCGGAAGTGAGGACGACGACATCAAGTTGTGCAGCATGACAGCGTGGTCCATTGCTGCAGGCCACTGGTGGTTGGGTAGCCGCATGCCACGTAGCAGTTTGCGCATGCTGTTCTGCAGAGTCCTGTTCATTCTTTCTGCGACACCTTGCTGCTGATGGGCGTAGGGAAGGGAGAGGAGCTGCTTGATTCCTCTTTCCGCCAGGTACTGCTTGAAGCGCTGAGAGGTGTATTCTCCTCCTCCGTCTGACTGGAAGCTTTTCAGCTGTGCTCCCGACTCTTTCTCTGCTACTGGTAGCCATGCGGCGAACGCTGCGAGTGCCATGTCGCGGCTGGGTAGGTTTATGTGCCAGATGTATCGAGTGGCGGCGTCGATGAAGGTTATCGTGTAGTTGTAAGTAACTTGTCCTGGTTCTCGATTGAAGAGAATATCGCTGTACACCTTCTCGAGTGGTGCGTACGCGGGTGCGCTCGGGTTGTGGTGAGGAGTAAACGGTCGATGTGGTAAGTCGGCTTCGGGGCAGGTGAGGCAAGTTCCTCGTGCCCGTTGAAGTTCTCTGCCGTCGGGTAGTAGTAATGAATCCTTGTCTAGGACTCCTGCTCTTATTGTATTATTTAACACGGTGTTGCTTGGATGTCCCATGCGTGCGTGCCAGATGTCTTCGGAGGCGCGGTGTCCGGGTGAGCGTCGATACGCATCGGAGTTGGAGTAGAAGCTGGCGACGAAGTTTGCGCTTCTGTGGACTTCTCGTTGAGTTGGGTTCAGCTTCTGTGCGAGTGTTGGTGGTGCTTCATCAACGAGAACTGGTGTCGCTGATGATGGTTCTGCTACTGCCGATGATGTTTTCTGCTGCTGCCGATGTTGTCTCTGCTGCTTCTGCTGCTGCCGATGTTGTCTCTGCTGCTGCTGATGATGTTTCTGCTACTGCCGATGTTGTTTCTGCTGCTGCCGGATGTTGAATTGTTGCTAACGCGCGTGTTCGTTCTGCTTCAGGGATGGTATGCGAGTACCAGAAGCCTTCCGGGCTGAAGTCTGGATCAAGATCTGGAGGGTGCGTCCGATCGGCGAAGTTCACGATGGCGTCGCTGTCTGCGGTGCCCAGGTCTGGGACGAAGTCAAGGACAAAGACGTTATTCTTCAGAACCGCCTTTCCGATGTAGAGGCCGCCCTTCCCGTGGTACAGTTTGAACTCCTGGGTGGTGCTGTCGGCTTCCAGGTGTATGCCTTTCGCCATCAGCTGACTGACGCTCAGTAAGTTGTAGCCGAGTCCCTCTGCTATTAGGACTTTCGACATTTGTAGTACGACGTTCGTCTCCCGTGACTGAAGCTGTACTATGCCTTGTCGTCTTGTTCGCAGGTTCTGATTATTGGCGACGGTGATGACGACTTCTCGTTGAAGTCGGTGCTCGCGTTGAACGAAACGTCCTGAGGAGCGCATGTGTTGTCCGCAGCAACTGTCCAAGAACCAAGTGTCTCTTCCGGATGGCTCGCCTTGAGCGATGGCGGCGTATGTCGGGTTCGGCTGAAGTGACTCGCGGCGAGGTGTGGTTTTGTCAAGTCGTTCTTCTGGTGAGTAGTGCGGCGGTGATTCGGTGATGCAGGAATCTGTTGTCTTTGCCATGCAGTTGACGATGTTTCTTGCTCCTTGTGCAGGTTGTCCTGTTGGAGTCGTTGAGGTTTGAATC